ACCATAGTAACAGTTGCTTTGCAGATTCACTTTTGACAGCATTTGATTCTTTGCCATAACGGACGTGGTTAAAAGGCTTGCTTGTGGTAAGAACTGGTAAACCTGCAATTCTGAATAATTAAGTGCTATTATTTTGTTGAAAGAATCTAAGAAGGAAACATTTGTCTTTATTTAAATAAAGCCAAATATTTACAAAAATGAGTAAAAAGAAATATTCAGTGCATTATTTTGCTTTAGGACTTGCTTCATACATAATGTGTATGCATATTAAATTCAACAACATGTGCAACGTGTAAAGACAATTTTACAACTTCTCCAGCTGTTCACCACATGTGTGGCTGCATGGGGAAAACAAGTATGAGCTAAGAGTGGTCCCCAGCTTATACCCCTCTGAGAGATGTATATGGTTACAGTAAAAAATGTCCATATAGGCGTTGTAATAAAATGCTAATGGTTACCAAGGTCTAAGTTTTAAGCAGTACAACAAGCCTGCATTTCAAAAATTAGAAGTAGAACAAGAAAATTCAACCTAAACTGCATAATATGTTGGTTTGGACTCTTTTTTACCTACAGAAATTCAACAAATACAAAAAACCAATATGGGCCTTAGTTTTACTATTTAGGTTAGTAATTACTCTGAAACACTAACTGCATGTCTTGGAATTAGAAAAGACAGCAGCACAGTCATATGCTTTATCTGTCTTTTGCTAACTTGACCTAATAGATGTGTAAAGGCTAACCTTGCCTTTCTGCTGGAGGGATGGTTTAATTTGTTGGCATCACACTTTTTAGATAAAAGGTAAAAGAAAGTACATTGCATCTGAGAAATCACTCTAGATTTTGGTTTAAAAAAAAAGTGTTCTCAACCTGTGCTAAATATGTCTGTTTTATCATGAATGTATGAGGGATTTATTATGCAGCTGTTAAGAAATTACCTTCTTAATCCCTTCTGCTCTAAAGAGAATTTGTTACCTTTTATATTTCTAACATTGACATTTGAGACCCAAGGAATTCAGCTGTTTTCTCTTCAGGGATCTGAACTCCATCCCATGCAATGAAATAGAATTGTGGCTGAATATTTTTACCTTGAAGAAGTAAAAGCATTTAAGAAATAAAGGTCAACCCAAGGCAGTATCTCCTCCGGTATATCAGCCTCACACATATATGTATGGCTAGATAAGGTTCCAAGAGTAATGGAAGAGGGATTTGTGTTTTGTTTGAGAGGAGAAAGAGGGCTGGGGAGAAGGATTCTACAGTCCCTTTGTGGACAGGCAGTGAAGTTCTCCCTAGCAGAGGGCCAGTACAAATCCTGGACACAACATGGAGTCAAAATAGGAATGAAGAAGGGCAGAGCAGTACATGAAAGCCGTTTCTCTGCATTGGCATGGATTTCAACACTACGAAGCAGAGACCTAAAAATGTTTTGTGAACTTGCATTCCCTGTGAATGTGAACATCTTAGTATGGTATCAGATGCATCTATTGGCAGGCAGCAAGTGTCAGTGCTGCCAGTGCCTTGTAGGATCTGGTCTGTAAGTTTCTCTTGCCCGTGTGTGTCCCTGCAGAGCAGTGAGAGCAAAAATGTGTCCTGGGAGGTATTTGGGATATGCCTATTTCAGCATTTTAGGTTGGATCAGCAGCAGGCTTTGGAAAGGCTCCTGGTCATTACCATATGGTTTGGTTCTCAAGTTGGCAGTGTCAGAGTACACAAATGGGATTCCTCCTGGGTGAAGTTAAACTGTGACCCAGGACCTAACGTACTCGAAAAACTAATAGACATGCAGTCCACACTGGAATTGGCTGGAAATAACTCCCTATAAAGTGTGTCTAGTATAGACATCAGATCCTCAACATATACAGTTCTGTTCTGTAGACTCCTTCCTATTGTACCTGTGTAGTTGTTAATAGAGAGATATAGTCTGATAATTAACATGGGCTTGCTTTTTAAAAAACATGATTACGGGAATCTGTTCTTGTATCCCTTATTCCTTCTGGAATAAATTACTGTTCATTAACAAAGTGGTTGGTCTTTTCCATGGGAGAAACAGGATGAGACAGATGGAGGCCAGCCAATGTTCTTTAGCACGAGGCCTTTCTCACCCTCATAGTGATAGTTTTGTGGCTCACACATTAGGAACAGTTTTCAATGTAGTTAACTATTCTGCTTCTGTTGCCTCTTGATATCAAAATATCTTGACGTCTAAATATATAGATAACCAGGCAACCTGAAAATATTGTTTTCTTTATCTGTGAGGTAACAAAGAGCTCTCTGGTTTTTAGATTTTCCTATTTCTCTGGTGTACTGGTACGTATCAGTATATTTTCTAGGGCAGGCAAATGTTTTCCTTCCATGTTTTAAGAAGAGCATGTTGTGTAGAAATTATTTATGGGTTTTTTCTTTTCTGTCCCCCCACCTCCCCCCAAGAGCAATTGAATTACATAGATGAAGTATCAAAAAGAAAATTTAAGTATATAATGTTTCTTTCTTCATACTTTTGGTCTCTTACAACCTATAGAAGTTGAAATTTTTTAGGTACAATTTGGCTAGTTCAGAAAAGTACAAATTCTTCAACTTTGAAACCTTCCGCAGATCTGTATTGCTGTGGTGGACACCTACCATGCCAGCCTGTAAAGACCTCAAAAAAAAAAAAAAAAAAAAAAAGATTTTGGTGCAAATGAAACTTCCAGTCCTTGAAATAAAATTAAACCTTCAGGCAACAGCAAAATTTGAAAGACCTGAATAGCAAATTTACTGGATATGTATATTTATGATCTCTGCTAGCAGCATAACTTGCCTTTGATTGTTTCTTTTTGTCTGTGGTTTTCAACAGCAATTTTGTTGCCTGTCTGCTAAAATACAGATGTTTCAACAGATGCACAGGTCACATGTGGCAAGTGTAAGCAACCTGTTTTGTACAGAAAGTTCTTGGCCCTGTGATACAGCGGGGCTTGGACTGCCCTTGCTTTTAAGCCATTTCCACGTGATAACACTGGGGGCACTGGCTCTGACGTACTTAGTTTGCTGATGTCCTTCAGCTCATTATCGCCTTCATATTTGACATTGCCAGTTCTGTGGAACAAATAATTCAGAAATACATAAAATTCTTGTTAAATTGTGCAAGGCAGGGAATGGTGGTGGGTTACAAGAAGCAGCTGTGTTTAGGCCTGTAGTGAGAAATATTACTGAAACTAGCTGGGTATACTCTGGACTGCTTGGGAACGGGTATTTCACATTTTTTGTCTTCAGATATGTGCTGTGATGGGTGGTGTTAGTCAGCTGCTTTCTACTTATCTGTGTGGATTTCTCTGTTGAAAGATTACCTTTCTCCACAAGCCATATTCTCACTGGTTCAATCAAGAGATACAAGAAATGGAAAGACCAGTCTGTTCTCTCGAGGTTTTGTAAAGGAGCAGATGGGAGGTTTGGTTGGTTTTCCTCCTCTCTCTACTTGAGACCTCTTTTGATCTTTTGTATATGTTAGAAGGAAAAAGAAACTTGCATTTGGCTTTTTTAATGCGTAAATGGCAACAAAGACTGAATTTTGATATCAATTCACACACATCTACACTAAATAATTGATACTTTATGAATCAATGTATGACATGAAAGCCTTCCAGCAGCAAATTATGTGTCAAATTTGAATGTAAACCCTTCACATATTATATGTATGCACTTGCCTTACATCCTCACTCAGTCTTAATGAAGGACAGTTAACAGGTCACATTCCCTGGCACGTGTTATTGTAATTTCAAGAACGATGAACTAACACGTGGGAAAAACAAACAAATATCCAACATAAGGCATTAATCAGTAGCAGTCTAAAGCAAAATAAGGAACATACTGTATTAGAGATCACTTGGAGGGATGAACCTGAGATCTCCAGCGCTTGCAAAAAGACTCTAATTCTTATATACACAAAGGCAAAGGAATATGTTCTCTGAAATAGTTAATGCTGCACTGTATATGTGAAGGAAAAACTTACATTAATTCATAATTCTGGCTAGATCTAAGCTGTAAGTCACATAGGAAAGTACAGAATGAAGCACTTTTACACATTTGTTTTGCAGTAGTATTGGTAATTTCTCTTGCAAAAGAAAAATAAAGGTGTGTTCTCCTGGTGTGTTCCCCAGGATCAATGCTAAACCTAAGCACAAAGCAGCAGTGCAGAATTCCTTCCTTGAACTTCTGGAGTTCAAACAAGAAATAAATTGGACCCTGGGCAATACATTACTTGGTAATTCCCAAATCCAAAAAATTTGCCACAGATTGGTATTTAAATTCATATAACTAGTAGGTTTAAATGGGTGACTTTTTCTTTTGGAGAGCAAATTTGGAAACACTATATACTGAAGAGAGACTCATTTTACTGCTCTGCTTTAAAATGTGATTACCTAAACTGGGCTACAGAAATATCATACTGTATCACCTTATAAACATCTCATGACCTCCTCATTCTCAAACCTCTTTGCAAACAGACTGATAGCAAAACAGTAGCTTTATTTAACAAAATAAGGTCTTCCAAATTCTGGGGTTTGGGTTGGTTGGGTTTTCTTGGTTTTTTAGGTTTGATTGTTTACTTGACATGAAATTTCACTGGGATGTGTATCTAGATTCTGAACATCTAGCTAACCTATTTATTTTGGGACAGAAATGTAGCTTAAGCAGTCTTATTTCAGGCATTTCTTCTGTGCTGGATGAAATTTACTCTCTGAAAGGTAATGACTGTTTATCTAGCTGCTTGATTTTTGGCTCTGCTTCATCTGTGAGGCAGGCTGTACTTAAATCTCCTTCCATTTCTTTATCGTGACCCAGTGGATCATGTCCTTGCAATCAAATCAGATTGGAAAGGGAAGAAAAAGAGAAAACCAAATCAACTAAAGATTAAAAGGGCTAAAAGAAAATGTCCAAGACACATAATTAAAACAGTGTGTCAAGCTTCAATGCCCAATTACTTTGTCTTACCTCCCTTTGTTTGTCTTGCATCTCTTTCTTTCACTTACCTTTGCTAATTGAAGTTGTTAACTCTCTAGGCAGCAGCTTTGTCTTGATGATTTTCAGTAAAACTTTTGGCACCCTATGGAAATTATAGAAATAAAAAATAGTAAAGTAATTAGGACATTGTAGACATGAGCAGATTTCAGCCTGTGATATTTACATCTTGGCTACAAAAGAGTTTCACCCATAATATGGTCTTGAAACCACAAGCATGCAGTATAAAGTTCAGAGCAGAATACAGCAGTTTGGGACTCAATACTGCAAACAACATATGCAATTTTAGTCATATATATATAGTTCCATATTTTAAGTATTTCAGGGTTGAATATGAGTTATTTAATATGTGGGCTTGAATCTGAAAGTATGTGTATATGTTATTAAATAATTTTTATGTGACAAGGTTCTAGGTGTGTTATGATCAAATATAAAGAGAATTGTCTGGAACTGAAGAGTTTAAAGTAATCTACTGACTTCTGGCTATTTGATTAAACTTCAGATTGGGCTTTAAACAGAAAACGTGCAATATGAGGAATGGGATCCAGCCAGAAAGAAGTGATTGAGCAGTGAAGGTATGCTAGTTTCACATTTTTCTTGTTTGATCTTTTGTTGATTTTTCCCTTCTCTCATATAATCTCTTTCTTTCCTCCCTCTTCTGGTCTGTTGTGTTTGCTTTTGGTAGGTTGAGGGCCTATAAACATCTTATCAGAAAAATGTTGGAAGGAGGGTAAGGGGCATATCAGAGTCAGTAGAAGAGGAGTGCTGGGTATAGAAGAGCCTAAGCAAGGCAAGCAGGGGTGAAGGGGAGGCACAAAGGATATGATTAGTCGTGATAGAGAATTTTGTCTTTTTTCTTCTTTTTTAAAATCTGAAAGCTTTAAGAATGTGTAATTTGAATTGTAGCATCAGGTTTGAGTTTAAAACCCATGGTATCTTCCACGATTGCACTATGAATGACTTGTCTGTGCTTGGAATTACTCGGATTTGCTGGTGCACTTGAAATTCACTGCCTGCCTTAATCCAAGGTAACATTCAAGTGTAGACAAGCCTAACAGTTCAACACTAACATTAACTTACCTTTGGCAAAAGTTTTAGGTGTTCAAGGAATGTTGGATCAGTAAAGAATGTAGAATTTTACCTCATTAGTTTGTATTAATGAGTTATTTCCTAAGAAGATTTTAATGGCTTAATTTTATTAAGTGAACCTTTATATTAAAGGTTGTGTGGGTAGTGTCATATGAGTATAACAATGGAGTTACTGCATCATAACAACCTATATCTAGCAACCTATGGTGAAGGCTTTTAGACCTTTCTATTCCCTGCTTTCAGCTGCACAATAAACCACAAATAAATCATCTTGAAACAGAAAGCTAATTTTAAATAATAGCAATTTACCTCAGAGAGGGACAAAGTGGATGTCCTGGGCAATGACTGCACCATCTGAACATACTCCTTATGCTTGATCCCAATTCCAAACCAGTCTAATGTACAAGATACTGTTGCAGGATCCATTCCTTTTTGTAATTGGTGAATTAGGATATTTACTCTTTTCTAGACTTTCAAAACTATCAATGGTTCTTTAGCATTTCAGGAACACAGTTGCTGGCCTGTTTTCTGGATCCAGCATTACAGAACTTGTATTGCCTTGATGTAGAACATGATCTATAAATTTGAAAGCAAACAGGAACAGTTCTTAGAATAGTGTGGTCCTTCCTATCTTTGACTTTTTTAGCTTTATTTATTTATTTATTTATTTATTTATTTATTTATTTTTAGTGCTTTATTGGTTGGGACTAATCTCGACAAGATTCTAGACACTGAAGTAAGACAGAGTTTTGTGAGAATTAGTTCTTACTAATGTCCAAAATTCATGTCTGTGATCAGGAAATACTTTATGACAAGAAAACAATTTCATACAGAGTTGCTCTTTTATAGAAGTGTGTGCTTCTGATTAGAATCTCCAAGTCAATTTGGGAATAAACTTTTTGTAGATCTGTTGTGCCCTTCATTTCTTTTGGTGGGTGAAATACTTTTAAATAGCTCTATAAATAGGTAAGTGATCATCAGACGCCTACATCCTGCAGCAACTCTTTAAAGCATGCTTATACTCGTGGCCATGGGCTCATCAGAGGAATATGTTAATTAGCAGGAAGAGTATTCAGTGCTGTCCCAAGGACAGCACACAGGCCACAGCTCCATGGTTATCCCAAGGCCCTGGTCCTGCATCATTACAGAGGCAGAGAGGGTTCTGTGTTCTTAAAACTGTGGAAATTACCCAGGCGATGATGGTTTTAGTATGCTGAGGTTTTGAGTACAAGTGATCTCTAATTCTCCTTTTCTACCCCAAATATTCTGATTCTGTGAATATAGAATGGTATCCAAATCAATAACCCCTGTCCTTGGCAAGGATTAGTTAGTTCAGGTTGGATGCCATTTTAATGGATTGGTACTGCTTTTGGCTTGGGTGATCTGAACTCAGCAATCTCTTCAGTGCAAGTTAGAGCTCTATGACCACGAGGGGTTAGTAATTGAAACTGGTCTATAATTTTGTGAGAATAGTAAATGGGTAGTTGTTATCCACAGAAGTAACCCTACGGAATTTCATAGGAAAGAAGGGGGAAAAAAAAGAAATTAAAATTGACAAGTGATGTTAATAGTTTTTACTTGGTGCCTATGTTTTAAGATTTTTCATTTACTTAGGCTTAATTATGTAGCACTATGAAAACATCCAAACCTCCTGCATAAGTGAACTGTCACAGGTTTCATACAGCTTAGTGAGGTTACTATATTACATTGCTGGATTGGGCCAATGCCTGCTAAGTTAAATTACCCTGCCCTGGACTGAAGTTAATCACTAGATCAGGAAATACTTAAAAAGTAAGTAAAAATACAAATTATGAATATAATTGTGTTCCTCAGCTGCAAAGATGAACATTACAGTTAAGATTACAAGATTTTTCCATGGTTTTAATGGAAATTAGGTGTTTTCTGTTTATTCTGACATGAAATGTAAAAACAAAGAAAAATTGCCAAAGCCAACTGTCCGTCATTATGTTCCTGGGTGAGCCAACTTATGTTCCTAATTGTACTTTAATGTGGCAATTTATCCTATACAAAGTCATATCTTCATATATATCAACTGAGTTACATATTAGTTTACAACTAAAAATCATTGTTGAGTATGTCTTAGAGAGTCTTGAACTTTCTCAGACACTGGGAGAAGTGGTGTAAAGCCTGAACTATGGTCAGTACCAAACACAATTGGCTCGTGGACAAGAATCAGTTCTTCAGTGAAAATGGTGAAAATAATTTGCCTGGAGTCAGACTTGTGTACAAAGAATTTGATTTTGCTGGGACTTGTGTGCACACATTTGACTTCACACACTTGAACAGCCCTCATGGCTGCTTATTTGAGTGAACCTAATCTGTTTGATTTAATCTTCGCAGGATTGGGACCTAAATGAGTAATTAAAATAAAAATAATTGGTTTGCTTAAGTTTCAATCCCATTTTTAATCAGCGGTCGGAATTTCAGCTAGTGGAAATAAAGTAGCCACACAATATGCCTTGAAATGCATATCTTGCTAAAGAATATTAATTTTCTTCGTTCCTGAAGGGACTTCCCCCACCTCCAGATCTCTCTTGGAAAGATTTTGCATCCTACATGTGAGAGTGATAAGAGAAGAGGTATGTCATGTTCCAACATGCACAACTTTTCAAACACCAAAAATAAATAAAAAATTCTGTAAGCTGGTTTACGCCGCCAACAAGCAGTCCAAACTTGTATTTTACATGTTTCTGCAGGTTTTATAAGCCTGTTCGCTGAAATATTTAATGTAGGCGAAATGCTTGTTATTTGATTTACTTTGATTTACTTGCTAGAGGTCTCTTATGCAGATAATGTAGAAGTTTTGGGGCCTAGTCCTTGGGGGACCCAGCCATTGACTGATGTGTCGTATGTGCAGCAGAACTGTATGAGTAAGATTCGTCCAAACAGTACAGAGCAGAGTTAAGTGGCTATGTATTAATATACGTTGCAAATTGGCATTTCAAGTGGCTAAATTGTGTCTGAACTTTCACAACACACCTCTTGGGTAGATGTAAGGATTCAGCATTCACAATTTGGGGACAAAGGGGCCAAGGTCAAACAGCACTGTGAAAAAAATCAACTCCTCTCCTAGCAAGAAAGCCAATTAAAATAGTAAAATTTTGTTGAAACATTCTTAAACTCCTCCGTACCTCTCTTTATCTCCACATGGTCTCCATACCTATACAATTATTTATTTGGATAATAATAGGACTAGGGCTCAATTTCGTGATAGGAGTTTTGGTGTAATGTTTCCCAAGTGCTAGTATTGCTCGTTATCATGACCTTTAAAGGATATGTAGGTACCAACAGCACACCTGGGCTTGCAGTCTTGCAGGACTGTGCCCATCCTTGCTGTAGGAGAAAATTACAGTTGAACTGGGCTACAGGTGGAAAGGCCTCACCCATGGTGCAGCTCCCTGAATGACAAACGGATCCATAGTCAGTAGTCTTGACAGTTGGGTGTTTTGACAAACTTAAAAGTGCATTCTGCACTGAACAGCACTTTGCAATCTTCACCATAAAGTAATAACCCTCGAGTGATCTGGATTAATTTGCTTAGCTGTATACTCTGTCAGCTGTGTGGTGTCAGCCAAGACCCGTTCTGATGTTTTTGGCTGCTCTGGGCCGAGGAGGCCGCGCTGATGGGACAGCGGGGTTCCGCTCGGTCCCTGCGCCCCCGCCGCCGGTGGGAGCCGGCCCGCCCGGGGGCTGCGGGGACGTACCTCGGAGCACAGGGCAGGGCACCGCCACACCGCCGGTCACGCCGGGGCCGAGTGCAGCCCAGGCTCCGTTACGGACGCGCTGCCCGGCGGCCTCACGCGCCCTCGAGGCCGGTAACTCGAAGCCGTTGCCGGCCGGGGCCGTGGTGTCCCCGCCCGCGGCTGAGTGAGCGGGGTCTATCGCCGCCGTGTCCCGGCTGCCGGCTCGGCCAGGCCGTGCCTTTGGCGCCGGGACCTCCCTCACGGCCCCGGGGACGAAGGCTGCGGGACGGGCACGCGCGGGCCGTGGCGCGCACCCGCTGCACGCGGGCGCGAGGGCGGCGGAAGCGGGCGGGTCCTCCCAGCGCCGGCCCCGCCCCGCGCCAATGGCGGCCCCGCCCGCCCCGCCCGGGTCACTGCGGGGCGGGGGCCGGGCCGGGGCCGGCCGGGTGGGCACGCGCCTCCCCCGCACCGCCTCCTCGCGCCTCCTCCGCGCGTCCCGGGCCGGCAGCAGTGGCCGGCGCTGGGCGGCCTCGGCGAGCGCTGCGCTCCCCTCCGCTCCTGTTCGCTCCCGTCCCGGCCGGCGCTGCCCATGGCGTAGCCGCGCTCCTGCGCTCCTGCCCCGCGGGACGCGGCGTGGACGGACCTGCCGCCAGGTGGGTGCGGCGGTCGGACCGGGGCGGACACCTCCCAGGGTGTCACCCTGGCGGGCTGAGCGGGACGGTCCCGGGGGCCCCGCGGAGCTGCGGGGTGCGGGAGCTGCCGGGGCCGGTGGGAGCCCGCGCGGGTGCGGGGAGCGGCGGTGGGAGCGGCGCGCCCGCCCGGACCGTGCGAACCGCGGGTGGGAACTGAGGGGCGAGCCGGGAGGTGGCGGCTGGTGGGAGAAAGCTACAGGTGTCCCAGCGACAGTCACCGTGCCCGACTGGCTGGAACGTGCTGGGCGAGTTGCCGGCACCCAGCGAAGCCCTGTGCGGATGCCGCTGCGCGTGTGGGATCCTCGGATCGTGCAGGAGGCCAGGTGGGAACTCCGCAGTGTGCGAGCGGAGTGAGAGTTTTGTGTGAGTGTAATACATGTCCCGTCATTGCTATTTCATTGAGGAGTTGTTGACCTGTGGCATTTAGTGTTGCATATTTTGCAGGGAGTATACTGGAGTCAATTCACTGCAGCCTTCTCAGTTCATTTCTCCTAGTAATAATAAGAATGTGCCAATAAAGTTATATATAAATTAAGTAACTTTTAAAATGTGAACTTTACTCAGATTCAGGTGACTTATAATTCTGAAATCACTGTCATTGGCGTCAAACAGCACAGGAGGTGATACTTCTTTTCAAAAGAGAGGATGTCAGGTGTAGCTGTGTGTGTAGTTACACCTTTTCTTCTTGCTGTGGCTGTAACCAGGTGTAAATCTACTTATCTCAGTTTTATTAAGCTGTAGCTGTTAAAATTTACTCGCCAGCATTTATTATTTTCTTCTGAAATGTGGTATCATCAGGACAGTTGAGTTTTTACAGAGATTTCTCGATAGGGTTTGAAACCTGTAAGACACTTGGATGAAAAAGTGCCATGATTTTGTTCTAGGAAAAAGTTTTTCTGGTTGGATCTGTATTTATACCAAACTAAGTTTTTATTTGTTTTTCTTTTTGGTGAGATTGAACAGGCTGGTATTAGACCTGCACTAGAGAAAAAACCCAGAGTGAGAGAGCCACCTGCTCACTAATTGTAGGACTAATTAGGTTTGTCTCAGAGTGACTGGAGAACTCATACTATTGTAGTCTCATATGTGGAAGACTTCAAAACCGTATATGTAAATTAAACATCTTCCTAAGACAAAAGTTATTTATTTATCACTTCTTGCTGAAAATACAGTCCACGTTTTTTTTCCATGAGTGCCAGGCACAACACGAGTTGGTATCTGGGTTTTAATTAGCATTGCACAGGTATCCTGTTAAAGTATTATCAGTTAAGTGTTAGTAAAATGTTAATTGGAACATGCTTATTCATTTGAAAAGCTCCAGTTTAACCCATGAAGGCTTACAAGGCTTGAGATGTAGCTGAGGAGGAGCTGCTCCTCGGCTCAGACCTGGGCCGACACCGACTGCTGCAGCTGGTGCTCAGCTGGGGGAGGAAGGGAGGGACGAGTGTTGGAGGGGGGGCAGGTCGTTGGCTTCCTTCAGTGAAGAGCCCTTTACTCTGAAACTTGCTTCCCCCAATTGTTTTCTGCAGACCAACCTTGTTAAGTTTAAAGTGACACTTCAAATTTTTCTCTCCTGCCATGCTTGCTGTCTCTGGGGAGGTCTTGTTTAGTTGTTGATGCTGATGCGCATTTTGTGTGTCCAGAGCCTCACCTGCTCTGAACCTGTAAGTGATATCCACCAAGATATGAATTCTTTTAAGAAGTAAGCTTCAGTTTTTGTTCCTGGTATGCAAAACATCTTTTCATACCCCAGCATCTTGATGCCTACCTCAGGAATCGTGCTTTGAAGTCAATTGCTAAACCAGCAGGGGGAACACAAAACTTTATATCTATAAAGTCTCTCTTCCTACCACAGTTGTAATTTGTTAAAACTTTGGGCCTCTTCTTGTGATAATATTTCTTTAGAAAATGAATGTCAATTTACTTAGACTCTCCCCATGCATTGGAATAAACACATAATTTTTGAAATCTTGTTTTTTAATTTGCTCTAGCAGGCATGTCTTCCACTCTTCTGAATGGATTTTTTTGTCATATTAGCCATAACGGGACTTGCAAAAACATTAGAGGTTTATTTGAGGGAAATGTCTCTTTGAAGATGTTTGGAGTGAAGTAATTAAACCTAAGAAGTGATATTTTGAGTAATCCTGTTTTAGGTAATGAACTATTTGAAATATTTTGAAATATTTTCACAGTGAAACTACTACAATGTCACATTTATGATTGTATATAGATATCTTGAGAGTTAAAGTTGAGTTGCAAAGAAGTTGTATTCTCACAAGAAACTATTTCTAGTATTTAGGGTTTCCATAAGAGAAAATATTTTTAGATATTCTCTTAGGTTTTAAGAAGTCATTACTAGCTTATTTTTATAAAGGTCAACTGATGCTCCCAGCACAGATCAATAGTGATTTTCCTTTTGGATTTGTATTGGCGTAATGATCGGTTAAGTATTTTGTACCAGGAATACTGAACGTAAAGGCTGTTGCCAGAGAAGGTTATGTGGATGACTTGCATCAATCCGTATTGCTTTCTGCTCTGTGAAGCTGCATGCAGCCCAATGACAAACTGAAGGTATGGATATGCCTACAGATGGCTGAATGCTAAGTGAGGAATGGAAATTTGCAGCATGTCAGCTATTCCCCAGTAAAAGTTGGGGAATGGACTCTTACCCTGCTGTAAATGTGAGATACTTTGCTGCTAATACTTGTTGTTAAGCCATTTTTTCCTGGTGGGATAAAAACATGCCAGGGAGCATTTGCCATGGAGTAGCCAATTTGCTGCTTGTGGGTGATAGCAGTTGTATATTCTCCCAGCAGAGACAAAATACGGTTCAACTGAACTAACAGTCCCAGGTCAGGTTTAAAGGAAGAGACGTGAGCTCCTCTGGTTGCAGAATGGCACTGACTGCTTACTGAAGTAGAAAATGAATATGAGTTTTCTTCCCATTGTTTCGGTGACCAGGTATATGTGTATTCCAGTGGCCCTGCATTCTCCTCTAACAGCATTATGGGTTGTTGCCAGCTACTGAAGGTACAAAAAGGTGTATGTTAAATTCCATTGGTAATCTCCTTCCTCCATTGTTTTCGTGGAATAAAAAAAGTTTCTCCCCAGATGGTTCTCTGAGATGCTGAAGTGTGTAATTTGTAAAGTCAGAGTGAGATTTCTGTTTTCCTGTTATTTGTAAATAGCAGTAAAGCTTTGCCTGATATTTCTTACAATTCTTTTTTTTGATACTTCCAATAACACTCTGTTAACATTTAAGACATAAGTTACCAAGTCATGGGCAATTTATGTGAATCTCAGAAAATACTCTGTGGGAGACAGATTGCAAATATCTTTGCAGTCGCATTACTTTTGATCTAGTTCCACAAAATATTTGTGCATTATAAATAGGCATTACTTCTATAGCAGCAATATTTGTGGTGATTAACAGCGGTATGCTAGTTTCTAGCCACTTCATGAATAGAAGCATGTTTTGCCATAAAAATGTACTAGCGAAGAAGTAGTGCAATTGGAATTGCTTTATCCATAACTGTGGATTCACATTTTTAGGTGCTGGCAGTCATCCAGCAGAGCAGCATTTCTTGTGCTATTACAGCAACAATTAACCCTGTGATAACCAAAATGAAACAGATCTACACATCTCTGAAAATCAATGAAGGAGGGACTTTAAAGGTGCCACTTTAGTTCATATTCCATTTTCTTTATTTCTAGTGTCACAAAATAATTTTTTAAAAAAAAACTTACTTTATGACCTTGCTTAATCAGATTTGTCCAGTTCAGCAGAGAACATTTTATATATTGCATTTTAAGTGTAATATTGTTGAATTGTACTGCTTAAAAATAATTATGCCCGGGAAAATATGCTAGGTTCTGATGTATCTATAATGAAATAAATGGTTTTTTTTTAGGAAAATATGAAAATAATTATTCCATCTTTATTCCGTGAATAGTACTTTAAAATGGGCTATATCTCTTCATAATTAACAAATTTAATTCCATTATGTTTATCACTTCTCTTCAATAGTCTGTTTAATTTCAGTACACTAGTTGGCCAAGTTCAGATTTTTTTCTTTTTCCTTTCCTGTTGCAACACATTGCAAGATTTTGGGAATCAGCTGGAAAGGGTCCCTCTTTCAAATAATTTCAGCTGTGACCTTGCAGGAGACCTGTTTAGGTTGCAATAGAATAGCTTATCTAGAGGTCACGGGTCTGAAATAGGTTAATTATAGAGCTACTGTGTGTAGGTTGTTTTTCTGCGCTGAAGGCAACAGGGGCTGTGATACATTAAATGTTATTAATGATTCTGAAAAATAATGGCAATTCACTTATTCTCTGATTTCCTTTATAAGCATAGTCATTTTCTGTTGGAAATCAGTGAGGTTTATTGTGTGCATGAGGAACAATAAAAAAAATCCCAAAGTATCCAAGCCAGCTTACTGTATAGTATAAATCTGC